CCCCCCTCCCCCTCCTCCCGGGTAAACTTATGGCTGCTCTGGTGTTCTGACCGGAGCCAAGGCCAGGCGCCCGGGCACGCGCGGGCCGGGCCCGGGGACACGTCGTCCCCACAATGTGCCGTCAGCCCTGCTCACAAGGCGCGGCGAGGCGCGGCAGCAGGGGTCGTTACAGAGTTATCCCGAGCACGTGAGATTATCTCCCCGAGACTGGCGGAGAGGTACACGAGAACGCCATACGCGGCGGCACCACCGGGGAGCGGGCCACCCGCCCAACCCCCTCCCTCTCATTTCTGCCTTCCTTAACATTTACCCCGTTGGCTGCACCCCAATAACACCCGGAGGAGTGGGAGGCGGGGAGGGAGGGAGGGAAAGACGGGGGAAGGTCTTCTCTCTGATTCCCCCAAACGACGCAAACGCAGTTCTCTCCCCGAAACAGGAAACGTGGGAGTGTCGCCGGGTGTTGTTTCTTTAGATTGGCCGGGATGCTGCTGCAGCTCCGTGGCGGGGCGGGGCGGGGCGGGGCGCGGACAGGTGTACACGCCAAATGAATGGGGGGGCTTGGCGAGGCACGGCGGGCGCGAGGATTACACTGGCACGTGCTTGGAATGGCGGGGCGGGGCGTGGTGGGAAAAGGAAAGCCCCGGCCGGGAAAGTGGAAACACCCGAGGCAAGAGGCGGTCAACGTGAATTTCATTTTCTGCCCCAGTCTGATGGTGCGGGCGGGCGCGCGCGCGCGCGCTCTTGTCGTAAAAGGCCGATGAACACTTTCCCGGCGAGCACCAAAGCGAAAGGCCGTAAAAGAGGTTCCATCGCCGGCCCAGTGAGCAACACGGGGACTCAGAGAGGATTAGATGTTGTGCCTTATCACCTGAAAACGAAGGCAAGTTTCAACAGGGCACACTGGATGAATAGCGTTCCACGTCTCAGTATCTACATAGATCATTAAATCTACTTGCCATGCACATCATGTAATATGCTAAATTGGCAAAATGTACGCACTATGAGGTACGTGGCTACAAGAAGTGTGCGTTGCTGGGGACGTTTATACCGTAATTTGTTATTACAGCGCTTCTAAAAGGAGACGACGTATTTATACGCTAAACTGATGCCAAATAAACAGTACTTCAACTAACTTGGTAATTTTGACCTAATAAAAAATCAATTGAGTAAACTACTTCTGTGCCTATTGCATTAAATATTAATTTACCTGCAATTTAAGAACAAAACATAAACGATTCATTATACAAGTTCAAACACGACCATTTCACCGAGGTTTTAACTTGCGCGGAAGCCGGACAGCTTGGGAATGATCTAAAGAAAACAAAATAGCTATTATGAGGACATTTGTCTCCCTCTATGGTTATATAAATTGTGAAAAAGACAACAGACGCTTATTTAGTTTGATGTTTTCAGTACGCGCGCTGTTGTGCGGCTAACGTACACAAAATACAGCTACTAAGTGAAGGAAGTTTCAATAAAGTGCAAAACTTTTGCAAACTACTGGACCGGGATGTGGGCAGTGCCTTTTAGCTGAAGAAACAAATTTGAAACTTTTAGTCATATTTTGATAAGTTTTTTGTGATTTGCAGATAAAGGAACGACTTTCTGTTTTGTGAGCGTAAGGGTTGAAATTCTGGAGGAGAGCAATTTTATCTAGTGAATGAGGAACTACAGACCAACGTGAGCCAAGAAAGTAAAGAATACGCAAGTAAGGATTACTTGTAAACAAGTTCAAAAGGGTATTTTGGATTAAGAAAGATAAGGAAAAGAAGTGAAAATGTGAAAAGGAGAAGAGGAAATGGGATGGGAGAGAAAAGAGAAAGGAGAAGAGTAAATAGATGGAAGAAGAAATTAGACGAAGAAGAAGTAGAAAAAGAAGAAGGCAAAGGCGAAGAACAATAAAGAGGAGGCAGAGACTGATCAGGCGAATAGTAGGTAGCGAGGGCTTAGGGAAGACTTAATGTGCCTCGGCTGACGGTACCTGCTTGGTAGTTTTCCACGACTCTGGAAGACAGAGCTGGAACAAGGGAATAACAGTTAGCTCACAGTCGCAAGAGTTTCTGCTAGAGGCGTAATAGGATGCCTAGTCCCGCGAGCTCTCGCATTTCCATAAAAATGCTCGAGACTTCGGAACTTAATAGCCAATTCGGGGCCGGCCGCTGTACCGCGGGTACGAGCGGCTCCGCTCCCGAGCGGCCCGTCGTCCTTACACTGAAGGGCGTGTTTGTTTTGGGCCCGGCCTGCTATTGAAAGGTGGTCCGACGTGGGAGGGGGAGATAGAGAGAGAGAGCAAGAGAGAGAGAGGGAGAAAGGGGGCGGGGCGAGGCGCGGGCCTCGGGGGCAACGGGGGGCCAAGTTCGGCATCAAGGCCTCGTTTAATTCTCCCCCCAAACAGAGAGGCAACAGAACAGAACGAGCTCTCCCCCCACCCTATACCCCGGAGCGGAATTTATTTGCGGAGACTCGTTCCTCATACTTCACGGCTCACGCGCCCGCGTAC